AGTTCTACACATGTCTATGTTGTGAGTTTCAATTAGCTCAATTGATCAGCTGAAACTGGAATTTGTTCCCATGGTAGCCTTGCTGCAATATTTCTTTATCTGGATCTTTACAGCAAAGTGCTGGGAAGAGGGGGAATGACAAATATGCTATGCAGAAGTAAAATCCAAAGTGGCCATCTCAGTGTGCTCCACTTGATGAACAAAACTGATGAAGCTCATTCTTTTTCATTAACCAATATTAGTTGTGTATTATGTGCAATATCAATTGATAACTTACAATGCATGTCCAATGTAACCAGTTATTTTGGTTATTTGTTTTGCTTCTAATTATTGTTAGGAATAGGAAATTAGTACTTAAATACATCTCACTCATATTTGGGGAATGCATGTTCTTAATCATTCATTTGCTTTAATACATATTTAAATTTATATATGAGCAGCATCAAATAATGAACACTAAAGAATAATAAGCCTGCAAGGGACTAGGTTTAGAAGCTAGGGGCCTTATTCAAGGCTGTCTCTACCACATATTAATTTACATCAACATCTTATATAAATCAATTCGTATCTTAATACCATCCACAAGGAGAAAACAAGTCTAAAGACATCTGCCCTGTTCAAAAATTTTATCAGCAGCACTAACCAGTTAGTAGCCTATCTTAGATAAAATCATTTATTTATGAAATCACAACATTTTTGTGGCTCACAAAATGAGAAGATTGAATAAAATATAAAAGATAAAGGTGTAACAACTAAAACCCTAAACATAGTGCATAGCATCAGATCCCCAAAAGCTTGCCAGAAAAGCTCTGCTTACAGCTTTTACTAGAAGACAGACAAGATTGGGGTGAATCTCCAACTGATAGACCAGCCCCATAACTGAAAAAGACTTATTTTGCCCCACTGATCTGTAGAAAATAATGGATCAACCATCTGTTTTTCCTGGCATGACTGAAAAGGTAACCAACCCATAAAGGGCTTTTTGTGTAAAAATCCAGCATCAACTGGTTGGTGGTAATTTGCAGTCCCAAATTAGAAGCAGCCCCAAATGAATGTTGCAGTATACTAGTTGGGTGGTGATGGAAGGTGTGAGCCACTGAAGTCAGGTCTTCTCGTTCCAAATAAAACTGCATCTGATGCATCATGGACATGTAAAGCTGCATAAGGGCCTCCCAGGACGTGGCCTCAAACTGCTGGTCCAGCAGGACTCGTGAGTCTAAGCAGATTCCCAAGTCACGGACTTTTTCAAAGTCAGGGCCACCCCGTCTACAGATAAAACAGGGATGTATAAAGAAACCTTGGAGTAAAACTAGCTGTAGAACAGTATGAATCTGCTTTCTCCAATGCACAGCTTCCAGCTATCAGGACATTATTTGGATGGCAGCTTCAAGTGCAAGGGAAGTGTTCAGAATCTCCTGGATCACAGACCTATTACCTCCCCAGCAGCCCAAAAGAGTCAATGGGACGAGACTCAGCCCTCAAGTGGTTGCAAATATCATAGAGAGCACCTTATCCATTTCCTTAGAGATAACAGACCAAAGAGAAAACCAAGTAACCAAACAAGATGGGGCCACAGAACCCAGACAATGGTGAATTTGAGCATTTTTACAGTGAAATCTACTGGAGTTAGGCAGCCCAAAAGGTAAATAAATAAATGTCAAGCAAATTGGTCACAGTGGCCTGATGGTAAATCAACAGGATAACTCTTACCTCTGGAAAAGGGCCAGCAGATAACAACCAGTCAATGTCATAAGGGAGGAGCAATAATGATTCAGAGTAAACTTGAACCTGTGCATGTATCCAATTTTTTGCATAGAATAGATATATCTTCCTATTCAGATTACATACAATCTGAATCTGCCTACAATATAGGGAAGGCATCGGATGAAGTAAATAATATGGTTATGCAAGGTATTCTTTGAAATGATAAAACAGCTGCATTCCTATAAAGCTTGTGCTGCTACTTCAACGCCTGTCCCGATGGTGCATGCACACATCTATGCAAACATTCTACACTTCCATTGGGACTGCCAATGAAGCAATCATGTATATACAGGTGGAAACAGACAAGGACAACTTTCAAAGAATCATGTAAGTCTTGCATAGGACAGAACTGCTTTGGAACATTTGTGAAGCATTTTTTTTTAAATGTTTTGCTGAAGTCTATTAAATGAGGAAAAACATTTGCAATTTTAGTGCTGCAGCTCAGAAACAATGTTTTCTACAAATCAAGATCTGGTGTATATATAACAAAGGCTAGGAAAGATCCTGTTGGAAACAGCTGTCACTCAACATGGAAAGAACTAAACCAGACAGATTAAGAAGTCTGCTTCCGTGTAGGGCAGCATCTTTAAGGTACATTGTAGAGACCTGAAAATCTAGTAATAGGTTTCCTGTAGCAAAGTAGAGCTCCCTAAAAGTTACCTAGATTTAATTAGTGTGGGCCTAGTTTACTTTTAAAGCTGAGCCATAATGTATTTGGATTAGCCTGTTGTGCAAATTCACCCATTATGGGTTAGCACTATGTGCAATCCAGTCCACCAGAGCTTGGTCAACCATTCATAGTTAAATAAATTCTGGCATGTCACTGTGCAGGAATACAAGCAGTACAGCTGCATAAGCTAAAGGGCAATGGGGATTTACAGCCAATAACCTACAAACACAAGCCATAAAGCCCTATTAAATGAGGGTATTTTTGCCAAGAAAATATGAGAAGGAAAAGGGAAATTCATAATAGAAATAAGTGTCAGAAATGTCCATCTTAGATGAAGAAAATATAGAGCTTGCACTCCTTTTGGTATCTAGAACGTTTAACAGTGTGTTGTTAGGTCAAGGAATCAAACTTAAATTTTTGTCTCAAGTTAATTCAATTATATTTTTAAACAGACTATACAAAAATCTGCTTAAAATTTTCATTTAGCTGTCTCAATAGTCAAATTCATCAGGCATAATGTTTGCCTCCATGAAGGTCTCTTAAAAGTGCCAAAATAAATAATATTGCAGACCTTGCTCAGAGAGATTAATGCATCTCTTGAATCAGAATGCTGGACAAAGTTTTATCTATATTTAAGTAAATCTATTCAACAAGCCAGGAAATTTTGGTAAACATATTAGTTTTCTCTTTGCTTTACAAGGCTACTGCCAGGTACTTGACTAGATCAAAGAATCCAAAGAAAATAAATGACCTCTGCTGATGGATAATTGGGAGGGGAGGCCAACTCCTCCAGACCTTGCAGTAACTCATCTATGACAAATTATCAACTTCTTTTGAAAATTTTTGTTTGAAATCAGCCTGAGAAAAATTGGTATGTTAAGAAAGTCTCTGAATGTGGCACAAATGTGCCACTTCAACTCTCTTCAGTTTATCATAACTTACTGATATCAACTCAGCAGCCGAATTCTAGTCCTAATCTTCACTCAGCCATGAGCTCATTAGTGGGTTTATTTATCTGAAATATTCTTGTAACAACTTTCAAGGCAGAACTTCCTTAAGGCAATTTCCAAGGTTAGGGAAAACATAATAAAATACATGATTCAAGGTGCTAAAAGAACACAGAAAACATTTTCAAGAAGAAATCTCATCCTCAAAACATGCAAATCCCTATGGAACCCTGGGATTTCTTGACTAACTATGCAGGGCAGTTACAAAGAAAGCAAAATAAATTCTGATGCATCACTTTATTTATTCACTTCAAATTGTTCCTAACATTCAGTGGATAGCATTGTTTCACATCCTACCTATTGCTAGAAAAGGCCTTAAATTCCCCCTTTCTACATACTTCATTTTCTGGGGGAAATAATTTTGTTCTGCTGTGGGAGAAAATAATAGATACTGGCCAAGTCTTGCTCTCCTTAGGACATCATACTATCCTGCATTGAGACTTCTTTCAGGATGGATGCATTGCATTTTTATTTAGAATATAATAACCAAATGCTGTTAAAAAAGAATAGAGCTCAAAACCTTTGATTTCAACTTGACTTCTAGGGAGTTTGATACATGGTGGTTTTATTGCCAGCTGCACAGAAGACATTTACCACTGTCTTCTTATAGGAATTGTTTAACTTCCTAAGTAATCTAAAGTCCAATTTCTGGTGGTCTTTTTCAAGTACTTATTTGGGAAGATGGTGCAGACAACCTAAAAAGTTACCCATAAGACAACATCCTTTGAATCTTCTTTTGAGTTTTATTTATGATTTACACACTTGATGGTCATGAATACCCAAGCACGTATCCTGTGCCTAGCAAATGGACTGTGGATCAAGATGGAATTAGACATAAGCAAATTATCCACAGATTATCAAATCAGGGAAAATATACACAAAATTATTATATATGTTAAAAAGACAGACATAAACAGCAGTAAATTAATTCTTCATTTCTTCAAAACTGGCATGCGAGTTAAGATGCTACACAGCTTCCTATACAAATTAGAATACTTCACTTCATCTCAATTTAGCATAGTAATAACAATCATGTACAACATTCTTTGTCTGCTTGATGAAATCATTATATTCAATTCATTATGACAAACTCAGATATTACAAGAAACTGCCACTTGATAGCTACCTGAAGAACATTATAATCTCACCAAAACTTTCTCCATATTCTTCATTCTGTAGCTTTAAAGTTAATTTTCCCTCAATTTCCATCTTTTACTAGTCCTATCTGCTGCTTCCGTCTGTGTCTAGCTCTTCTGCTAGGCTGTATCGAAGTAAAACCACTGCCATTTTAGCACCCAACTGACAAATTATTATACTTCTAATACTATCCCTCCTTTTCCCATTCACAAGCCAAGTTCTAAGCACTAAAAGAAATTCCAAGAATCTTTTATAATATGGAACACACACATTTGATGACAAGAGGTTCATCAGCCACAAAGTGCTGTATTAAATGTCCGCAGATTCATTTTTAATACATAAAAACATAAATGTTTCCACAGAAGCTTTTGTGAGATCAAGTTAGAAACAATACATAGTAGAAATACCCAAACAATACATACTTTTAGATTGCATTGTCTATGATCCTCAGGATTCTGCTATTCAATTCACAGGACTTATATGGTATCCTGGTATTATCCCGTAAGTAAAAAGACCTAGAGAAATTAGGGATGGGCAATAAGTAAGCCCACGTTTCAGATACAAACTTAGATCTTCATTCCTTAAGCAAACTTATTCAGATGTCTCTTAGTTCCAATAATCATAATAAAAAGAAATATTCTTAAACAATCATGGGAAAACAACATAAGGAAATATCCTATGCATTGGGATTATTCAGGAAGCAAATGTAAATATTGTGGATAAATAAAAAGCAACTATCAATGTCTTCATCTCATAAATTCTGCTGCCTGCTCCCTTTAACAGCATCACCAAAGAGGAACTCCTAGAAATAACTTCCTTGCTATAGAAAACAACAACCTGCTCTCTGCCTGTAGATCCATGTGATCTACAGGCAGAGAGACATGGAAATCAGAAGCAAATACAATGCCAATCTTTGTTTTTTTTTACTGACTCTCAATATTATCCTTCCACAGTTAGGGCAAAATACAGCAGTGAGGGGAAAAACTTTTCTTTCCTATGTTTTTTTTCCTCTTAGGCAAGCAGCTTCAAGATTTTGTCAACTCAAGGCAAGCAGCTGGAACAGAAGGTTTGACATGCCACTTTGCAGTTACTGAAATTTCTTGTTTTAACCCCATGACTGACATACATGTATACCAAATATATTTTTCTTCCTAGAGTTTTCCACATGCCTTTTCCTCCGAAAGCTAGTAAATCTCCAACTATAATTTCTCAACACTGAAATTAAAATACCCTGAACTTTTTCTTACTAAACATTAGTCTAAAACCCTCATGAAACATTAGAAGAAATCCCCAAATATATTTCACATATTTTAACTGACCCTCCTTCACACCATTGACATGAAACTGATCTGGTATCAGATTTTGAAACTCATTATACATTTTATCTGCATATAACCAATTTAATTTCAAACTTCCTTTGATGTTCTCATGTCACTTTCAGAGACATGGTCCACACGAAGCGCAGTGTAACTTGCTCAGCTCTCCCAGCAGTTCTTATATTTTTTGGAAGAGCTTGCTTGTACTTGCCTGTACTTGCCTGCCTGTACTATATATATATATATAGAATGTATACGAAAGCATCCTCATTGCCACCAAATTAAAATTTAGCCATATTTTCCTATGGCATATTTCCAACTGGCCTATTGGGAGGGAATTTGATTAGTTCATAATTTTTGCTTGCTACTGCAAAAGTAAGGGTTGCCTTTTCCTTCAAAACAACTGATTGTATATTAACAATAGTGAGCAAACCACCACTACTTGAAAGAATGCAGTGGCATTCAAAGCAGGATGAATACACATTTGTAAATAGTGATAAAGCACTGTTAATGGAAAGGAAGAATACTTCAGAGAACTAAACAACTATTCCTATACATGTCTACTCAGAAAGCACTCTTTTCCAGGTTAGTATACCTAATCTGCAGCTAAAGCAGTTTAAAAGATGACATTCTGGCTGATGTCATAACCATGGTACAGCGGAGAATACTAAATATGTTTTTCCCCTCCTGAATCATTGGCAAAATCATTCTCTACATAAAAAAATAAAAATATTTTCTGGCATCATTTTGGATTTAATATTGTTGTCATGACCCCTAAAGCTTCCTTCAATATTTCCAAATGCTTATACTGCATTACTTTACTCCACAGATACATTTCTTTTAGAGCAGGGTCAAGTTATTAAGTATTTGGCTATTTCTAGAGAAAATACCTCAGAATTGTATTTCTAGAGCTCCTATCATATCTAAATACAGAAATATACACACACCCCTTTTGAAGAACAGTTTAAAGCTTCATCATTTCTTTCTGGGGCTGGCTCCAAGTCCCTCTTCCAACAAAACGTTTAACTAGGTATCAAGACTGGTTTCTCTGCATTCTATATATATATTATTTTAAAGATACCTTGACTCTCTGCCTCGTTTATCCCTTCCCCAAATCCCCAAGATAGAGCTGACCCGCAACTGGGAAAGCATCCGATCTGGCTATATCTTTCAAAGACAGGAGAGCCATCAAGAAAGGAAAACAGAAACATCACCAAGAAAGAAGCTCAAACCCTAAATAGCTGAGCTTCCCATAGATTCGGTTCCTGCCTCGGCCCGGATTGTTAGGGTGGGGGAATTTTTTCCCTCCCGCGCTATTGTAAAAGTTAATGGGTTTGTTACATAACTTTAGACCCAAAGGTAATCCCAGGGAGAAGGGCAGAAGCCTTAATGTGATCCAAGGAGACCCCGGGGAGTCGGAGTCAAGGCTCAGCCCACCTGCCACCGGGGGCCATTTCCTCGGTGCTCCCTAGCGCCCGGGTGATGGTAGGGAGAGGGAGATGGGAGCAGCCCGAGGGCCCTTCCGATCAGGCTTGGGACGACCCGACGGGCCACGGCACCCTTCGGGAACCGGGGTTCCTCAGCGCCGAACACCAATACCCGGAGGGGAAGGGAAGGGAGGGGAAGGGAAGGAAACAGAGACGCAGCCAGTCCAACCGCTTACCCACCCACCATGACACGAGGAGAGGCGGACCGACATGAGGCAGAGCCAGGAGACGGCGGGGGCGCCCCCCGGAGCTGGAGGGCTCCACGCGTTAAGACCTCGACACACTCCGTCCACGGCGGCCCAGGGACCAGCACCGACCGGATCCTGGCAGAAACTTCCCGGGGGCCGCCCGTTGAAGCCAGCGCGCCGGCTCGTAGGAGGGGGCGTCCCGTAAAAGCCGCGCCCCCTCCGCTTCCTTTCCCCCCGGCCGGCCACCCACCCACGGCGGCGGCGGCGGCACCTGTTCCCATTACCCGCCCGCGCCCCGCAAGTTCCCCCGTGGCGGCGCCCTCTCCGCCCCACCACGCGAGCCTTCAAGGCTGGCGGCGGGCGGAGCCCCATCGCGCTGCCGGCCGGTGCGGACCGACTGACTGACGGGCTGGCCAAGTCCCTGGCTCACTCACCGGGGCGCTCGCGGGTTGCTCCGTCGTCGTGGCTTCCACCGCCACCGCCGTTTGACTTTCGTGGGGCCCACCCAGGGTACGCGAAGGCCCCAGCCGGGCTAAGATCCGGCGGCTGGAACGCCCCGGGGCGCCCGAGTCCCGGGCTCCACGCTGCTGCGTCAGCAGCAGCAGCAGCAGCAACAGCAGCGCCGCTGCCTCCTCCTCCTCCTCCTCCTCCTCCGCGTCGCCGCCCGGCTACAGGATGGGGACAGGAGGCGCGCCCCCTTCTGGGGCCCGCGCGCGCAAGGCCGGAGGGGGGCGGTGGCGGCCGCTCGGCCGCGGGGAAAGGCTCCTGCGCCGCTGTGCTCTCACCTCTCCTTCTCCGCCGTCCTCGCCGCCGCCGCCTCCAACGCCGCCGCTCTGCTCTAACTCCCCCGAAAGCGGCAGCGGCAGCATCGAGCTCCAGCTCCGCTCCGTCCTCCCTTCCTGCTTCCTCGTCGGCGGCCAATCATG